TAGCTCCTACTGACAGCACTGTTGCTTTAATATAGTGTCATGAAATACGTTACAATTAAATTTGTTAAGAAATAACAGATTGCTTATAGACAATATTATGGTGCTAACAACAACCCTCACTGTCTCTAGGTGCTGGATCAGACAGGGCATTCTGCAGCAGGGACACCACCCGTCGTGCAGCATCCTGCAAATCTCCCTATCACAACAGCCCACATAACAAAATAACATTAGTGTATGATTCAGCAGAGCTTGTCCAGGTCTGGAAAGTAGTTGGGCCAGATTTTCAAACCAAGAAATTGAGCTGGGCCAGACGTTTTCAGCGGCCCAGTAAGCAGCAGGTAATAGAATTTTAAACAAACACAAATCAAGGTACATTATTTTAAAAAGCTACAACTGAACATAATCTGAGGAGGTAGCAATACTTTTTTCCACTTTTGAAATAAGAAAAATATTTTGGTCATATCTGACCTAGACACATCTCAAAGTGCACTAAACAGAATAAAAAAGAACTTTCAATGCACTGATCCATTAGATGGATCAGGTATCAGCCATATGAATAGGCCGGGCTTATATGGATCAAGAAGCTTGGAACAGAATCATTCCTGTATAAATACTGTTTAAATAATTCGCTTATAGTAATCAAGTAGTCCGCAGTGTTCATTTTGGGTATTTTTATACATGACAACATACGGAAAAATTAAAATTACTTTTTTTAAACCATCACTTTGATAGCCCCGTGTGCTTCTGGCTAGTTACCTGAGGCTAATGCTCCGTGCATATATAGAAAATATGGCGGGAAAAAAGAAATTTTCCCTCAATGACAAATATATACTCATCAAAGCTTATGATTAACTGCCAAAGACGAGCCAGCGAGATGCAACAGTGAAAGTACAATAAGCGTATTTGAATTATACACAAATTAATAATTTAATTTGTACAGTACTGTAATTTGAAAAGCGTTTGAAATATTTGTACTGTATTTTGAAAGTCAATAAAATTCAGTAGAGACTTTAATTGCGATATATTCATGTTATATATATACACATTATATATATAAATATATGTGATAAATATATTATATCATATAAAATGTCTATTAGATGGCAAACTGCCAGACACAAAGAAAAAAATCGGTTATAATCATCATCTGCTTATAGCGATCTATTTCACCCAGACAGACGTGATCACCATAAAGGGTTTCCCACATTATTGTCGAGGTGACTGTTCACTTTACCTCTGCTTTCTCCGACATCTTCCGGATTCTGCCGCCAAGAAGGGGCTCAGAGGGCGGAGACTGAGGGTGTTAAAAAGACCAATCAAAGAAGCGGAGCCATTAGCCACTGTTCCCGCCTCCAAAGTGTCAAAATTCATCCTGTCGAGCGAGCGAGTGCTGTGCAGACGCGAGCGCGTAGATGGGGTCCAGCGAACGCGAGCGCGTAGTGAGGATGGGTTTTCAGCTCGCGA